CCCTAAAAATAATAAAGTTCACACATATGTATACTCACTCACACACACACAAGCTAACTGCTGCAAGGAACACTTTAAGATCTCTGTGGCTTGTCTGGTCAGCGTGACTCGGTGGTTGAGCATCAACCTATGAACCAGGAGGTCACAGTTCAATTCCAGGTCAGGGCACATGCCTGGGTTGCAGGCTCGATCCCCAGTGTAGGGCGTGCAGGAGGCAGCCGATACATGATCCTTTCTCATCATTGATGTTTCTGTCTCTCTCCCACTCTCCCTTCATCTCTAAAATCAATAAAAATATGAAAAAGATCTCCACAGCATAACACAGCGTGTTCCCCACTCACATGATGCAGTGTCAGGTGGGTTGGCAGGGTCCCGAGTCACTCAGGCCCTCAGGGCACCAGCCTCCCTCCATCTAGTGGCCCCACCATCATGGGGGCCTTGGAGCCTCCACCAGACTCTCTGTATCAGGCAAGAGAGCAGAGAATTGCAAGGGAGGTTTCCAGGAGCCAGGCCTGGGAGCCGGGTACATTACTTCCATATTCTATGGGCAGAAGTTGGGCCTGTGGCCACACCTAACTGCAAGGCAGGCTGGGAAATGTGGTCCAGCTAGCCAGGTGGGAGAAAGAGGGAACGGGATTTGCACATTGCCACACCTGTCCCTCTAACACAGATGTGTTTCCTGCTCTTCCTTCTCATCCCAGGCTTGCTCACTCCGCGCCCCCCCCCCCAAACACACAGCTGATTCCTCCTCCAATGTTACTGTGGAACTGGGGGTTTGTATCTAACGAGTGCGGAAATAAAAGGAAAACCACCCGGATGTGAACAAGCAAAGTTATTTATTCACAGCTGGTTAGCAAGGAGTCAGCCCCCATCACGTGTGCCCTGTGATCGGTTTGGGTGCATATTTACCTTTCTCTGGTCGGTCCTAAGTTCCAAGTGGGGACACAAGTTAGAGAAGCTATCCGTTATGAATCAAGTCCTGTATACTTTGGGCCAGATGTTACGGGGGTTAGCATTTGGCTTCTGAACTGGTTACTAGAGCTAGCAGTCTGACTTCCTACATGTCTGACTTACAGCAGTTGGCTCCCTGGGCTGGTTACTGCAGATAACGGGTTAGTTTCCTGGGCAGGTTGCTGCAGGCTCAGAGTTCTGTTTTTATACATGGTTTGGCCATTGGCCATGTGTATATTCAGGCTCTCACAGCTGACCTTACCCTGTGGGACCTTCCTCTCCCCTCTGCCCGGAACACGGCAGACCTGCTCCTGCAGGAATATCTGCTTGGATCAATATCTGGCAGTCTGCTATGCACATGATCCATGCCCCCCCCCCACTCCCCTCAGTAGGCCACCCTGAGATTCCCCACAGGCTGGAAGTTGCTCTTTTGGGGTGGGGGTTTGGGGGGAAGGTGTGTTTTCTTTAATCAATGGTGTAGCGATACAACCGCAGAGTATCCATGGAAAGGTATCAACAGATGAGGTAAACAAGTTTGAATTTCCTATCGTGTCCTGTGGGAAGCCACTGCTTGCCAAAACTGTCATGAGCGCGCATCGAGGATGCACCTTCAGCCGTTAGCCGGGCTGACAATAAGCACCCATTGTTTGTGTTGAGATAGCGGTGGCTCGAAGCAATTTCCTGACCTGATAACCTCCACGTAAATGTTTACTGGATTTTACTGACCTTTGAGACTACCTGCTACTTGTTTGTCGTGCTCGACTGAGGGCAAGCTGTGTATCTAAAACTGAATAAAAAGCGGACTAGGCCAGGTCTCAGTGTGCCTTTTCAGGAAAGAGGTTCCACCTGGCCCCCCAAAGCCTTCTAAATTCATATTTCTTGTATAGCATTTTCATTTGTGCCTCGGCCCCTCCTTCAGATCCTGAACCTTGCCCCTGGAATTTCTTATCTGATGGGGGTGGAGGGGTAACTTAGAGCCAAGTCCTTTTCCCTGGAACCTGTGAATGTCACCTTAGATGGAGAGGCAGTCTTTGCAGATCTGATCAAGTTAAAAATCCTGACGTGGGGAGATGATCCTGGATTATCCAGATGGGTCGGGTCCTCCATGGAAGCACAAGTTCTCATAAGAGAGAGGCAGAGGGAACTCTAGCCACAGAGAAGTCAACATAAGGATGGAACAGAGAGGGAGATGTGAAGATGCTAAGCTGCTGGCTGTGAAGGCGGAAGAAGAGGCCACAAGCCAAGAGATGCAGGAAAAGCAGCTCCGGGAGCCGGAAAAGGCATAGACCCCCAGAGGGGGTCCAGCCCTGTCAACACCGGGTCTTGAGTCCAGAGAAACCGATCTTGGCCTTCTGGCCTCCAGAACTTCAAGAGAATAAATTTCACCTGTTTTAAGCCTCTGAGTTTGTGGTCATTTGTTAGAGCAGCTAACGCCTCCGCGGCCTCCAGGCTCACTCACCAGGCTATTGAGGGGCTCAGGCCCTCATGGCTGGGGGGCAGACATCAGTTCCTTATCATCAGGCCACAGTGCTGCAGCCCACATGAAAGGCCTATAGAATTATCGGGATGGCATTTCGTAAATGAATTTTATTTAATTTTTCTTAAAGCTGCCCAAGTGATTGTGATGACTGGCAGGTGCGGCAATGGCTCTTCAATGCAAAAGAAGTGGGCTCTATGATGGTACCGGGCACACAGCAGACACGGTAGGGATCTTTTTTGGAGCAATGCGTGATGGCTGGCAGGTAACAGGGAGAACAGGCCCACACGAACGTGTGAAAAGGACTGTGAAGATCAATAAACAGAGACCCCTGCGAAGCGCCAGGTGAATGCCAGAGGAGCAGCTGGCCCTGTCTCCTGGCTGCAAAGCCGGGTCTGCAATTGGACCAGGTGAATAGCAGCAGCCTTGCAGGCGCCAGCCTTCTCGCACTTGAATTACAAACGAAACACCCCAGGATCCTCATGAGGATCCCCTTAAAATGAGGATCGATTCTATGTTGGGGGCGCGGGGGCAGGTCCTGAAGCCAATACTGCTGGTTCGAGAAGCTCTGGGCTAGGTCGCAAACACGGAGAAGAAAACGAAACGGGGCAAATGACAACTGACCCTGGACTGGGGCTCCGGGCAGGACAGAGGGGGCTCTGGGCGGGGCGCGCTGCTCTGCCGGTGGCCGGAGGCCTGTGGGCGCCTTACTCCAGCGCTTAAGGGCTGCCCCGCAGTCCGCATCCCCTCTCCGCGCGGCACCACCAGCAGAAGTGGGTGGAGGAGGGGCCGGGGGAGGGGGCGGGGGGAGACTATGAAGGAAACCAAGAGGCTTAGGAAAACCCTTTCTGCAGGCCCAGAGGCAGTCCTCTCATTCATTCATTCATTCTAGACATTTACGTAATCCCTATGCCAGGAACTACACTGGATTCCAAGTGCCACACCCTGCTGGCAGGATGGACGCTCAGAGTCACAGAGGCCAAGGCTGTGTGATGAGGCCTTGCTTCCTGGGTGGGGATGGGGAGGGAGCATGGGCTCCCGAGGAGAAGGGCGGAGAGCGGCTGCGTTCTGCAAAGGGGCCAGTGTGCAGGCTGAGCAGCAGGCCTGGCCACAGCAGAGCCGGCAGAGCTGTCTGGCCAGAGGGGGCCTAGCGCCGGGGCCCTGTCACCCAGGCCTCCTCACAGGCCTGCTGTCCCACCGCTGCTCCGCTGTCCGGCTCACAGGGAATGAAGTTTCCTTCTTCACCACAGGAACTGGGAACTTCCTGGTGGCATTGAATGGGCACCAACAGTCATTGGCTGACACCTATTCCTGTATTATTACTGAATCACACCCCACACCATGTAATGGGCATGTCAGGAACAATGAGGTGCCAAAGGCCTGGGAGGCTCTGGGGAGGGGCGGAGGCACCAGATTTTAGGAGGCCTTTGCACCTGCGGAGAGTGAGTGGCTTCTTAAATGTGGTGCCTGGAGCACCTCACTCCCTTCTCCTAGCCCTGGCCCTGACTCTGGGCTGGCTGTGGCTCCTTCTGAACTCATCCCCTAACGCAGTGGTTCTAAACCTTCCTAATGCCGCGGCCCTTTCATACAGTTCCTCATGTTGTGGTGACCCCCAACCACAAAATTATTTTCGTGGCTACTTCATAACTGTAAGATTGCTACTGTTATGAATCGCCATGTAAACATCTGATATGCAGGATGTATTTTCATGGTTACAAATTGAACATAAAGCAGAGTGATTAATCACAAAAACAATATGTAATTATATATGTGTTTTCTGATGGTCTTAGGTGACCCCTGTGAAAGGGTTGTTCGACCCCCAAAGGGGTTGCGGCCCACAGGTTGAGAACCGCTGCCCTAAAGGGAGGCACTGGGGCGAGCCTCCTGCAGTTTGAAGACTCAGTGTCATTCCTCAGAGTGAAGCCTCAGTCCAAGTCTGCCTTGCTCCCGCCTAACCTTGCATTTCAGCAGCACTTTCACCCCTTCAGCAGCCCCAGGGCCTCCTGCTCACAGCCCGCCAGGAAATGCTGTCACTCTTTGTCACTAGGAAGCAAGTGAAGAGGTGATGGGGGCCAATGCGTTGCCACCCTGGTGCTGCTGGCTTTGGGGCTATGGCCTGTACGCTGGCTATTAAAAACCAGAAAGCTCAGAAAGAACCTTTGACCCTCCCCCTTCCTACCTAATCGATTCAGCTGGATGGCACCTCCCGGACGGAAATCTTAGGATGTTCTGTTCACCTTCCTCTGATGTGAATTAGCTAGGTACTCTGTGTCCCGTTGTTTCTGGGTTTCCCAGGAAGAATTTGTCGGCCATACGTGTCCTGCTCTCCCTCAACTACCCGTAAATCCCCCTTTTTCACTTCCGAGATCTAAGACGCTATTCCATCCCTTTTCTCCTTTTTCCAAAATGTCATATATTACCCAATTTTGCCTGGCTGCCTGGGATTTTCATGCTTATGTGAATTCAGCATGTCCGTGTATTAGGATTCGATTTTTCTCTTGTTAATCCGTCTTAGCCAAACTAGAACATAAAAGGTGGGAGGAAATGTATTGCTTTTTTTCGGCCCCGCAGGTGAGTGGTCCCACAAAGGTTTCTTGTTAATTACTGGGAGGGCAAGTGTTCTCCCAACAAGCCGCCCTGGGTGGCACTGCCCAGACCAGCAATGACCCCTGCGGCGCAAGGCAGGCCTCAGGCTGCACTGTGGCCTGTTCCCAGTCTCTCTGGCCATATTGAGTTTGGTTCCATCCAGGCTTTTCCTGACCCCAACACTTGGAGGTAGGCCTGGTTTTGTGCCTTTGGATGAGGTGGGGGCAACCCTTCCTAGTCACAGGAGTATTTGGGTGTATATGTGTTTGGGGGGGTGTGTCTTGTTGTCCAGGACTCTGAGCTGAGCTAAGGAGAATGGAGGTAGAGGATGCCCTTTGCAAACAGAATGTTTGTCCTCCCTCCCAGAGTCCCAGGGGATGGTGTGTGTGTGTGTGGGGGGGGGGGGGGACCCGGACACTCTTGGGCTGGCTTGACCTCAGTCCCCACTTTCCACCCATTTCTGCCCCAGAGAAATCAGACTGCCAGGGAGGCGTGAGGTGGACCCGGAGAAGTGGGGGAGGAGGAAGCTGATGTGGGTCTGCAGGGGTAGGGGGCGATGGGGAAGCTGGCACTGCGGTAAAAATGCTGAAGAAGCCCTGCCGATGCTGGAGGGATCCCCGAGACCCTCCAGCAGGAAGACCCCAATTATTGTCAGTGCCTCTGTTCCGAGACCAGGGCTTAAGGGACCCTCTAGGTCAGCGGTTCTCAACCTTGGCTGCACATTAGAATCACCTGGGAATGTTTTTAAAATCCTGATTTCTGGGCCTCCTCCTCCGGAAATTCTGTTTCTTTGTTATGGGGTGGGGCCACAACATTAGTAACAAAGACACAGAATTTCCGGAGGATGAGGCCCAGAAATCAGGATTTTAAAAAGATTCCCAGGTGATTCTAATGTGCAGCCAAGGTTGAGAACCGCTGCTCTAGGTTCAAGGCTAGTTCAGCTCTGCAGGACTCAAGGCCTATGTATCTATCTATCTATCATCTATCTATCACCTATCTATCTATCATCTATCTATCTATCTATCTATCTATCTATCTATCTATCTATCTACCTATCTATCTATCTATCTATCATCTTTCTATCTATCTCTCAAGGCTTTTAGAGCAGCAGTTCTCAAACAGCGCCCCAGAAACCTCTGCGCGGCCTGAGGAAACTCAGGAGGTGCTGTGGCCCCTGCTGCTCCCGGGCTGAGCATCCTCCCGTGCACCCAAAGGTCGCCGGTTGGACTCGCAGTCAGGGCACATACCCAAGTTGGGCGTTCCATCCCCGGTGGGGGCCGTGCGTACATGCGTGCGGGAGGCAAACCATCCTTGTTTCTCCCTCCTCCTCCTTCTCCGTCCCCTCTTAAAAAAATAAAAAACCAATACAAACTTACTTAAAACAAACCAACAAGAAACCCTCAGGTGTCTGGGCCCAGCCGGCGTGGACGCCCTCGGAGAGGCTGGGGGGCTGCGGCGGAGCGCGGGGCGCAGAGGAGGCGGGTG